TTTTTTTTTTTTTTTTTTTTGGTACCAGGGATTGAACTCGGGTCCTTGCGCTTTCAAGGCAGGCCACCGAACCGCTGAGCTAAATCCCCAGCCCTACCTCTTCATTTTTTGAAACTCAAATGTAATAATATGAAATTCTATAAATATACACTTGGGAAAAGAAAAGATCAAGAAGAATCTCTTTTAAAAAAAAATCCTAGTTGGAAAGTTTTCCTCCACACATGTCCCAGTCTCATTTCTGCCTCAGGCTCACCTCCAAGGAGAGTTCACTGACAGTGCAATCATCCCAAATATCTGCCTCTCAGACAATTGAAGACAAAGTTGCACCTCCTGTCTTTTTAGGTTAATCTTGACAATGGCCTGTATCATATTTAGGGTGCTCATTTCTTCCTGTGGTCTCTGGGGCTGGGCCAATCCACAGATGTGCTCTACAGAGAGTGGCTACTCAATGAGGATATGAGCTGGCAGGCCGGGCAGGTTCTTCTGCCTTCTCCCTGCTCTCCTCCACCAAACCCCGAGAGCCTGAATCCTGCTCCTCAGTTGACAGATTCTGTATGTGGCCTCAGTGGGTAGTGATGACATCACAGCCCTGTGGTTTCCATGGCAGGGATTCTACTCAATTGTGGGAAAACATCCTGACAAGTTCTATACTAGATACCAGTCTGTTTTCCTGGAAGAGAAGGTATGAATGGAACTTTTACATTCAGGTTAGTTTATCATCTGTCCCGTGAGAGGGCAGTGAAGATGGCAAGCCTAGGCCAGGCTTCTGTACCTGAGGCTGCAGAGTACACACAAACCCATGGGCCCTCACAGGTCCTTCTTGATTGCCACCACCCTTCTGAACTTAGCCAGTCATAAGAAGGACTATCAGCCTCTTGCTCACTCAGGGACCCAGAGTATTCCTACTTACCACTCAGGGCTAGAGACATTTTGGGCAAGTATTTTAAAGACTTTAATCTCTATAAAGTTAGCCATCCTCTTTGAGCTACAAAATGCTTCCGTTTATAGCAGAGTGCTTTGGAGCAAGTCTATAGTCCCTTTTACTCGGATTCTAAAGGCGGAGGATCACTTAAGCCTAGGGATTCAAGAGCAGCCTAGAAATACAGTGAGACCTCATGAAAGAAAGAGAGAAGGAAGGAAGGAAGGAAAGAAAGAGGGCCAGGGATTTAGCTCAGTGGTTCCAGCACCTGCCTTGCAAGCTCAAGGACCTGAGTTTGATCCCCAGTACCAAAAGAGAGCGAGAGAGGGAGAGAGAGAGAGAGAGAGAGAAAGGAGAGAAAGTAAAAAGAAAGACTCTTTTGTAAAGACTCTCTCATGAATCTTGAGATTCAGGCATTAATACCAGGCTGTCACGGAGACATACACATGGGCCCCCTAGACATTTTCCAGTCTGAGGCAAAGAGTAGCAGGGAAAGGGTGGCATCATACAGCTGGGACAGAAAAGCCTGGAAAGAGAAAGTGCTAAGGAGACTAGAGATGGTGAACAGAGTATCCAAAGAAGTTGGATAGGAACAAGAATGCCCTGTGAGACTATCCTTAGTACCCAGATACTGAGGGTTCCTATTTTCAGATTCTCCTCTTCTCTGTCATTATGAGTAATAGATATTCTATTCTCTTGGTGCTGTTGGTTCCACAAAATCCAAGTAAGTGTTTTTATAGCAAACATCCCGTCCTAGGGGACCTATAGAAGTGGCAGGCCAAGTTACGTTTGGCATGCCAACTACATTGGTGAGCTCCACCCCAGAAGGCATAGGAGAATGTTGTCCTGGCAGCACAGCGTATAAGGCAGAAGTTATATACTGGGTCTGGGTTTTTCTTTCTAGCAGCACCCACAGCTCTTCCTACACCTGTTGTACTACCATGTCCTGTATTCAGGATGTGGAGAAACCAGCTGAGCTAGCAAGGAGAGACCTACTGCCTGGTTGGTGACAACTTGGTCTATGGGGATGCTGCCATCACTACCTCAGCAAAGGCCAAAGAAACCAGCATTCTTGTAGGCTCTCAAGAGACCTCAAGGTATAGCAGAGTCTAACCAATGCCTCTAAAATGTATCACTTGAACAATGGCGATAAGACTCTGCAATAGATTGTTGGTTAAAACACTCTTGAGATAATGAACACTGGGGGGATTAAGAGAGCTAATGCCTCTTCTTCAGTGACTTCTATTGCACACTACTGAATACAGACCCTGAGCCCTTCTGTCTGAGCCTTTCTCAGAATGGTCCACCCTTCCATGCCAACTGATTATGGGAAATGAGTCTCCAAATCTGCTGCTTCCAAGGATAAGCTCCTTTGAATATCCACAGGTTAGGCTGGCCTCAAAGAAGGCCTGATGTCCCCTGTGCTCAAGCTTCTACAATCCCTTCCTGTGGAGAAGAAACACCTGTCTACTCAGCACACCAAACCAGAGTGACAGAGCAGCCTAGCCAGAGTCCAATGTACCTGACTTCAGTCACATCCGACAACCATCAGCACAAACCAGGAGGCCTAGGCTTCTGCAAACTCTAGCAGTATGCAAAGACTACGTAAAGAGCCTCATGCTTGTAGTCTTGGGAGGCAGAAAAAGAGCCCCAGGAATAACTTGCTCCATGGCTTACCTGTTCCTTTCTTCCCAGCCCTTTCTGGCAAAAGTGGCGTTTTATGCTTAATAAAATGTTTTCCTGGAAAGGTTTTTGACTGAAACTCCATCTAGGCCAAGATCAGCCTTCAAAACTCCCAGTTTCCTTTGAAGTTATAGTCTTACATGTAAGACCTGCCCTTCTAAGGGCTCTGTCAGCAAAAGGAATCCTAGGGTGCAGTTTCTAATGTCATGAAGTCTACAGTAATGCCTCTGCTACTTGGGTCAAGAAACAGGCCAGTCCTATGCCGGGCATGGCATCACATACCTGTAATCCCAGCACTCAGGAGGCTGAGGCAGGAGGATGGTTGTGAGTTCAAGGCCAACCTGGGTTATGTAGTGAGTTCAGGGCCAGCTTGAGCTACATAGTGAGACCCTGTTGCAAAACAAAAAAACAACAACAACAGCAACAAAGCCAAAAGAAAGACAATTTCTTTATGAAATAGGGAGCCTCAGGATAGAGTGTAGCTCAGCATATGACTTAGCATAGAATGACTTAGCATAAGTTGTATATATGTGAGGCCTTGTGTTTAATAACAAGAGCTATAAAAAATGAGAGCTATTGTGTGTATGTGTTTAGAAAAGAATAGCATAACTGAGAAGATCTATCAGTATACCCACTCATCTGTCCACTCATAAAATTCATAATAATTGAGAACCTGCTATTTATAGCCACTGTACTAGTTGCTGGGGGTATATTGGTGAATGAGGCAGTCAAACCCCCTCTTGCCAAAACACACAGCAAATAAAAGATGAGATTAAAAAATACAATATCTGCGTATGGAGTTGTTCAGCAGTTGAGTGCCTGCAATGGGCAATACCCTACATTCAATCTATAGCACCACAACAATTTAAACAATCAGGTTATGATAACCCTATAAAGGAAAATAAGATATTTTGAGAATGGAGTGATGAAGGTTACCATGTTCACAAGGGGATCAGGACGGCTTCCTTGATATTTCAGCAGCAATGGGAGTAAGGGAATCATGTACCAGAAGGGAAAGCATTCCAGAAGGCCCTCCGTGTGTAAAGGCCCTGAGATAGACCTAGGCATATTGATACATATCTGTAAAAGAAATGTTCACAATTTTGAGACAGGAAGACCACAAGTTCAAGTTCAGCCTCAGCCCTGAGGCAGCTGTGCTTGTACACGTCTCTGTTCCCAACACTCTGTGAGACTGAGGCAAGAGGATCACAACTTCAACATGAACAAGGACAAATGAGCAACTTAGTAAGGCCCTGTCTTAAAAATAAAAAGGACTGCTGATATAGCTGAGTTCAAAGGTCCTCAGATCAGGTAACAGCACACTCCCCCATAAATAAATAAAAGGCCCTATAGTAGAATTGAAGCTGACCTGCATAAAGAACAGGGTGGCCAGAAAGGAAAATAGAGAACAATGAACGACAAGTCGGAGAGGTAGGTGTGGACCTTGTCAGTCATGATGAGGAATATGTATCTTGTTTCAGGTGTGAGAGGAAGCTGTGGCAGGAATATAAGGAGGATCGGAAAAAAATCTGATGTGGATGCTAAAAAGGTCACCCTAGCTGCTCTGAACCATGGGAGTGAGGTACTGGTTGTTACAAGGAGAATGCCCTAGCATTCAGGAGGCTGTGGCAGGAGGATGGCCATGAGTTCCAGGCCAGCACTCAAGGACAGCCTGAACTACATAGCAAGAAAAAAATAGAGCAGTTTAGAAAAAGAACCAGCACAGCCAGCCACACATAGCCTCTAGCCCTAGTGAGCCCTGGGGAAAGCAGGGACTACAAAGGCAAGACTGTTGATTTTCCCCTGACATGAATACCTATAAGGTCAGGAAAGACCTTGTGATGTAAGACTTTTCTTAACCTGAATTAGAAGAAGGAAGCACAGGCCCTGTGGCTCCCAATGTGACCCTGCTGAGAGTCTCAATTAACCCACCCCAGCTCCTCTCTGATACTGGGTGTGACCAGAGCAGATTTGTGATTAGGAGAGGGCTCAGGGTTGCAATCATTCAAACATGAGAAAAATAGTCTCTTGGAGCTATTAGCAATGAGAGATTCTCAGCACCCATACCAGTGCAGGTGAGCTTCTAGGATGAGGGCCTGGGCATTGTTCTTTTTCCCTTTTCTTTTCTTTCTTTTTTTGGCAGGCTCTCACTATGTAGTTGAGGCTGGCCTTAAACTCACTATGTAGCCCCGGCTGGCCTTGAACCTGGCAGTCCTTCTGCCTCAGCCTCCTGAATGCTGGCATTACAGGTGTGTGCCACCACACCTGGCAGGGCATCTTTATTTTTAAAAGCTTCCAGTAGTCACCACACTGGTGCATGTCTACAATTTCAGGTACTTGGGACATGGAGGGAAGATTACTTAAGCCCATGAATTAATTAAAGGCCAGTTCAGGGTACATATTGAGACTGCATCTATAAATGAATGAATTAATCATTCAATGAATATATGTTTCCCACAAATATCACTTTACAGGAAAAATAATGAATAGACAAAGGTGTAAAATGTCACCATGGAATATGTGATAGTTGACTGTGGTGTCAACTTGAATGAGAGGTGCTTAGCTGATTGGCTCAGCACAGGTTTGGGTGTGTCTGGATGATTGACTTACTGAAGAAGGAAAACCCGCCCAGGGAGTGGGTGGCAACAGACAGGCTCATAGCCTGGATAGAACAAAAAGGGAAAGAAGGACGTCTCTGTTTGGCTTCTTCAAAGAGTTCCAGTCTTCACCATCACCTCTGCACATCTGTCTCCAAGATTCCAGAGCTGATTCTCCAGTCTTTCAACACAGACTCTCCGGCTTCAGGACATGAACTCTCATCAAACTCTTCTGTGAGCTCCAGGTCTTTGACCTTTGACTGGATCACCCGGCTCTCCAGACTGCAGACTGCCTTTTTGCACTCTTCCACACCTGACACTGCAGGCCGCTACTGTAAGCCTATCTTGAAAATCCTTATATATCATCTACCGCATTATATAATTTTTTATATTAAATCTGTTCCTCTAGTGAACCCAAACTGATACAGAATGCAGTCAACAAACTCAACAATATGGAAAACTCACCTGTGCGTGCTGGTTCAACCATGTACTCAGAAGACTGAAGCAAAAGGATTTCAAGATAGAGGCCAGCCTGGACTCGAGGGAGAAACACTATTTCAAAAAAAACAAAACCGAAAAAAAACCAAAGCAAAAGAAGGTAAAGCAGTTAAAACATCTCAGAGGTGAGCCAGGGATTTAGCTCAGTGGTTCTGGTGCCTGCCTTGCAAGCACAAGGATGCAAGTTCGATCCCCAGTACCAAAAA